GTTGTGTCTATTCAGTCATCTTGAAGAGTCTGATTCATTGATATTAATGGATATATCAACAGTCAATTCCTTTATTGCATTAAATACTATTGGATATAGCATTATTTGTTATCTATTCACCTCTTCATGAGCATTTGGGTTGTTTCCAGTTTTGGGTTATTATAAAAAAACTGCTATAGACACTCATGGAAAGCTGTTATGTGAACATGTGTTTTCATTTCCCTTGAGTAAATATCTAGGACCAAAAAGACTGAGTTATCTGGTTAGGTATGTGTTTGACTTTATAAGCAATTGTCAAACTGTTTTGATACTGATTATCCCACTTAACATTCCCACTAGCAGTGTATGAGTTCAGTTCTCCACATCCTCCCCAACATTTGGTATGGTCATTTATATTTTATTTTAACAATACTAATGATAACTCATTATAGTGTTAAGTTGTCTTTCCCTGATGATGAATGGTATTGAGCCTCTTTTCATATGCTTATTGGTCTTTCACATATTTCCTTTTGGCAAGTGCCTGTTCAAACATTTTGCCCATTTTCCTTATTGGGTTGTCATTATTAAGTTGTAAGTATTCTTCATATAGTCCGGACATAAGTCCTTTGATATATATAGCTTACCTTATCATTTTCATTATGGTGGTGTTTTTCAAAAGGCAGAAGTTCTCTTAAAAATTTTTACTGAAATCAAAACTATCATTTATTTTATGCCTCATGCACTTAATGTTTCAAGAAACCTTTGCTTATCCCAAAGTTACAAAGATATTCTATCTGCTTTCTTCTAGCAGTTTCATAATTTTAGGTTTTTCATTTAGTTTTATGACCCATTTGAGTTAATTTTTGTGTATTGTGCATTAAGTGACAACACTCATTTTTTTCAGACAGCCCAAAATTAATAACCCTTGTTCTGTCATTTACTGTAAGCCATAGGCAAAGTTTATAATTCCTGTAAACATTCCCTCAATGTTTCTGGCCCTGTTTCTTTAACAATATGATGTAAGATTGTTAAAAAGGATTAAGATTCATTTTTGTTAATATTAGGCACACATTAGGCCCAGGCTAACATTGCATATATGGTGATTAACACATTAGAAATGAAACTACCCTGCAAGAAGAATGGAAAAGATGACTGAAAGTGTGCAAGTTAAATTATGTACACATGGAAAGTAGAACGAGGCCATGAAACCCTGAAAACAGATATGTTATTGAGGCGTTTAACACCAACTCCCTTGAATGCTGAGCTGTTGTGCAAGCATAGAAGAACGCAGAAGAAAATCAATCTCTTCATCGTTTCAAATCCACTCCAATTCACCCTTTTGGTGTTTGGAATGAGAGTTTTCAGTGGCTCGTAAAAGTAGCTTAACTATGAATCCTGTAGAATGCTCAGATTTTATCGTCTAAGAATCCTTTGTTGGTACACGTAAGAATCATAAGAATCCTTTGTTGGTACACATATTTCCAGTGTGTTATTGCTTTGAAAGTAATGCAGTTAAACAGATCTTTTTGCAGTATTGAGAACAAAGAGATCTTAAGAACTCTGGAAAAATGAAATCCAGTCCATATATTCTCCCAATAAAATGTCCATCATTCAGTTCTATAAGCATTTCACTCAAAAGGGATTCAACTCTCTCTGCACTAACCTACAGCACAAGCTTCTTTCTAGGGTGGCTCCCAAATCTCCCCTGAGATTTGCACAAAGGTTTTGACTGGAACTCCTAGAGGCTCTAAGGGACATGTTTTACATCCCTCAAAACCCTCCCTTATATCCAACATTTATAATGGAGATCTTTTTACAGCTACAGGGAAGCTTTCTTACACCTCTTTCAGAGACAAGGCAACTTTACTCTTTAGCAACCTATCATTTACCTCCAGTGACTATCATTTCCCAGACAAAAGTCCAGATAAGTCATGTTCTATTTGAGACCCTAACCAACTATAACCAGAAAAAAAAAAAAAAACCTTAAAAATAGCAACATAATTAAACTTTTCTGTAGCACATACCAGTAAAGGGTAATGGAAGAAGTCAGAATTTGTTTAGCCAAAGACGACCAGGAACACACAGTTGCATCTATTGCTCACTATAAAAGGAGACACAACACAGGAAGCCATGGGGCATCTCACTAAGAGGGTATTAGAAAGGACTCACTGTTGGATTTGGGCTTGTATTAAATAATTTGGGGGATATTGAAAAAAAGAAAAGAGTTCTTCGTTTGGATGTTGTCAAGAGCAGGGGTCAATTCTCTGATTAGAATAAATCTTATCTATAAGATGAAAAGGAATAAATCAAAGCTAAAGTGATAATTGGTAATAAATTAATAGTCATTTAAGTCAGCCATGATAGAGGAGTGTGTAGCATTGTTACGTTTGGACAATATTCATGTTTTTGCCTTGCGTTCAGTCATGATTGCAGAATGAGTCTTGTCTTTGTCTTGTTCTATCATGATACAAAGTGGCTGTGTCTGAGTTGATGCTCTGTGAAACTGTTTATGTTCAACAAGGAAACACCGCAGTTTATCTGTGAGCTCCATGGCAGCTCATAGCAACACTAAGTTCTGGCTGATAGCACAAAGTTGGTTCCTAGCTGTCATTATCAGTTGTAAAGAAGCGTAAGTCAGGGAATATAACCTAATCTAGCAGAATATGGGTGGCTTCCCTGAGAAACTGACATTTAAACTAAGACTTTAAAGTTTGAAAAGTCTTCTGTTGCCACAGTCTCAAGGGTTTATTTTAGCCTTTTCCTATGTTTCCTTCCATTTACCAACACAGCTTTTTCTTACAAATAAATTGTACCTAAAAAGCATGAGTCAAATCCGTCTTCTTATAACATCCCCAGCCTACTCCAAATATGAGAACATTCCCTGACTCTGGAGTTTTACGTGAATAAAATCTGCTAAAAGTTCCCATGAAAAAATTATAATCAAAATGCTAGTTCAATATAATGATAAATGCAGTGTTTATCATTATATTGAACTAGAATTTTTATTATGATTTTCTCACAGGACATTAAATGATAAATAATGCACATGTTAAAATGGAACCAAAAATGTTTCAAGACGTCACAAGATTCTTGAGCAAGAAATAATTTAATATTTCTCTCAAAGCCCATATTCCTAATATAGAGTAGAATATTTCAAAATGAACAATTTGTTCTTCAGAATTAGTGAGATAAGTTTGGTACCTAAAGAAAAGGAGAGAAAATAAAATATATGCTTTTTCTGTCTTGTTTTGAAGCTTGATGGTGTAAATGATAAACGGAAATTTACTCTACTACAGAATTAATGAACTCTTTTGCAAAACTCACTTGATTAAATTCTTTAAATTTCATGGAATTCTAGATCTTCAAAAAGCCTTAGGAGATTAGGGGAGGGTAAAGCCTTGGGTCAACGGGCTAAAGATCTCTCCTGCTATCATGCTGAATAGTAGATGATTTAAATAAGATCCATCCATTATCTGGCAAAACAGAGGCATCTTTTTAAGAATTGTCTATGCATCCCTACTGGGAATGATGTGCACTGATCTTAAATCCAGAGAGCCCTTGAGGTAGAAATTGGAAGACTGTGCAGTTAGTAACCATGTACATTTCTTATTACCTATGGCTTGGGAATTTGAATTCTCAGTGATACGTTCATTTTAAACATTTGCTGCTGAGAGTAAACCATGATATAGTAAAACATGCTAGATGGGTTATATTTTCTGGTCATAAAGATATAATGTGTTAGTATACATCCCAAACAGTCATTTTTGTTATTTTAGTTATTCGTTAGGAATCAATTGCAGAAGTACCTGTTAAAGGCTCCCTGATTTTGTCAAATATTGTGCTGAGTGCTTTCACACTACTACCATGCAACAATGTGGTAGAATTAGTATTAATATCCCTGGTTTCCATATTCTTCTGCATGACATTTAATAAAGCAAAGTTCTGCTGTTGGTAAAAAGTCCAGCTGGCCAGGTGTGGTAGCTCACGCCTGTTATCCTAGCACTTTGGGAGGCAGAGGCGAGTGGATCACCTGAGGTCGGGAGTTCAAGACCAGCCTGACCAACATGGAGAAACCCCATCTTTATTAAAAATACAAAATTAGCCACGTATGGTGGCACATGCCTGTAATCTCAGCTACTTAGGAGGCTGACACAGGAGAATCACTTGAACCCGGGAGGTGAAGGTTGCAGTACAACTGAGATCACGCCATTGCATGCCAGCCTGGGCAACAAGAGCAAAACTCCATCTCATTAATAATAATAATAATAATAATAATAATAAAATAATAATAATAATAAGTCCAGCAGATGAGATAGCACAGGAATCTCATCTTTGACCAAGAGACCATTTTGAAAGTATATTTAGTCCTGATTAAGAAATACTGCAAATTAATTCAAGATCCAAGCATGTAAGTCCACACAGATCTCTTTTATAGATATGGAGCCTGAATACAGTTTGCATGCAAATCAGTTTTATATACACTCATAAAAATGGCTGTCTAATTACAGGGTACCAACTCCAGTGCATAGCATCTAAGAACTAGCATAAGAATGTAGGGGCTAATTACTCTCCAGGATGTGAAAGGCTCAGAGGGCCTGGCAATCTATTCCTTCCCATGAAAACATGCAGTAGTGGGTGTCTAGAAGTTAAAACACTCTTTAGATTTCACATTTATTTTATACTGCTAAATATTTACCAATGTCTCTTTTACAATCAGACATATTTCAAAAGCTTATAAATTCTAGTAATTAAAAATGGTACAAGACAGTTGAAAGCAATTCAGCAGCAGAAGGGCAGGAGAAATCAGCTAACAAGAACGCCATGCTGGGTCAGGACCCTCTGAAGTTTCCGTTTTCTTTCTTTCACTGATTTATTTTGTATATTTTTAAGTGAATGGGTTCAATATTTCTAGTTTTATGAGTAATTATTTTTCTTTATGTTTAAAAAGAAAACATATAGCCATTCATTTTGGCTGTTTTATTGTGAAGCATAGCTAATGATATGTCAGATATCATTAGCTGTTATCTGATGTACCAAACATAAACAAACAGTGAAGCAGGCTCAAGGCTCTCACCCATTCTGGACAACAGAGGAATGCGACGGTAACCTGCAAAAAAATTATGTCTAATTAGAGCAGTAACCAATTAATCAGTGATGGCCTCAATAGCCTTGCTGAGAAAGAAGAGCTCTTTACTAAGCATACATTAAAAACCATGACTATGGAGTTACATTCCCATCTGGTATATTAATCTTCCACAAAAATTAAATATGTGCATTTTCTATTCTGACTTCCTACTGCCCAGCACTGAGCACACAGCTCATACTTCTCCTTCCGCAAAGTGCAGCATGATCCAAAATTAGCCCCCATCCTTCTGTTTCAGGAAGACCCTGTTTCCTAGGCACAGAGGAGGTTCAGATGCTGTTAGAAAAGTAAGCATATTGAAAAGAGGTAATTGGGAGCACAGTGTAAATCACCCTGGAAGGGTGACTCTGCAACACAAAGATAGCCCTGAAAAGGGGTCAGAAAAGGAAAGTCTTAGGCTCCCAGTCTCTTCTCCTCAGGCAGGAAGAATGAGTCACTGCTTCTCCCTTCTGGTTACCACCCATTGTCATTTCTTTATGGTAGTCATGACTACTCTTCACTGAAGCAGAAGAATTCTGATGCATGTAAAGAAATGCTTATACATGCCAAGTTTGTCTAATTAGCCTTCCTGTCAGTCCCACACCCCCACCCCACCTTCCACATGAGAACACATTTCTATAATTCCACAGAGGAAAAAAATATGTATCAATACGTAAAATTTCCTTTATATCCTACTTTGTGGATAGAGCTATTTGGTATGTCAAAATGTGTCTTGATATAGACAAGTTATATTTAAATTTTTGTACAATCATCTAACTTTTAAAAACATTACCTTTGTTCATGCATAGAAGTGGCAAAGTATATTGCCCAAGAAATTCGTTTCCTGCTATTAAACCTTGACTTTCAACAACAAAACGTATTAATGCCAGTTCTGGCACCTGAACGATAAATGTGAATGTTTCATTCCATCTTGGACTAAAAGCTGAAATATAAAAAAAGATACAGTACAAAGAATAGTAGATACCATATCTATGAAAAAGATGACACTTGTTCTCCAAACTTTTTCTTTTTTTAACACTTTAACAATAGTAATATCTTGTGTTTTAGAACACATAGGTTTTTAACATTACTCAGTGTGAGAGGAATAATAATCAAACAATATTGAGTATTGAGTGTTTAAAATTGTTGTTGGCAATGGCCAGATTTACATGGATGAACTCAGTTAATCTCCATCAGGGTAGGATGGGAAAACTGAGCCACAAATATGTTGTATAATTTCCTGAAGGTTTCACATATGTGGTCATTAAGTGGCAGAGCAGGAATTCAAACACCAGGAGTCTGACTTCAGAGCAGAAGCTTTTAAGCATTATGCAGTATGACTGATGTGCTTGGCAATTCTTTAGCAAATAAACTGAGAAAGGAAGAACATCAAGTAACATCATTTTTTTATATTAAGTCCTTGATATGGTTAGGCTTTGTGTCCCCACCCAAATCTCATCTTGAATTGCAATCCTCAGGTGTTTAGGAAAAGACCTGGTGGGAAGTGATTGGATTAAAAGGACAGTTTCTCCCATGCTGTTCTCATGATAGTGAGTGAGTACTCATGAGATCTGATGGTTTTATAAGGCAGTTTTCCTCGCTCTTGCTAGCACTCTTTCTCCTGCCACCACATGAAAAGGTCCACATCTATTTCCCCCTCACCTTCTGCTGTGATTATAAGTTTTCTGAGGCCTCCCCAGCCATGTGGAACTGTGAGTCAATTAAGCCTCTTTCCTTTATGAATTACCCAGTCTCCAGTAGTAACTTTAGAGCAATGTGAAAACAGACTAATACAGTCAGTCTTGTTATGGGAAGAACTTTATAAATAGTTGTTAACTGAAAGCTAGATAACAAACTAATGCCAGCTCTTGATTCTTCTTTAGACTAAGTGCACTTTTCAAAGTCCAAAGTTGATGAATTTCAATCTCTAGGAAAATAATCCCAAACACCAATTTCTTGCCAGACAAGAAATGCAAATTGTGTCACAATATGACCCAAATCATCCAAAAAGTAAAGCGTAATTTAACAGAAGCAGGAAATTCACAATCAGATTAAATATAAACTCTACTTAATAAAGACTCAAAGGTTTAGGGAGGAATTATATGCATTATTTTTCATTTACAAAGGCGATGTTACACTTTCTATGTCAATAGTTTTTGTTTGACTTACATTTCTAGAAGCACTGATGAATTTCTAATTATACTACATCTATGTTTTCTATGGTGCACCGGTGGTCACAAGAACACATTTACCACATAGCAATCCAGGGTGCAGTCTATGCCCACAGAAATAGTAAACTAATTGGCTCATGCTGGAATAATGACCACATTACCTTGACCTAAGAAGAAGAATAATTTCATGGAGTGCAGAGGCAGGTTTATAGTCAATTCTTTATAAACACTGCAAAACACCTGCAGAAAATGTTTATACTGATTTCTTCTTCCTCCAGCCCTACTTTATTATGCATATGCCTCTGCCTCCCTTCCATCCTCCTCCTGTATCTCTCTGTCTGTCTCTCTCTGTCTCTGTCTCTCTCTCTTTCTCTCTCTCTCTCTCACACACACAAACACACACACACACACACTCTCTCTCTCTTTCTCTCTCTCTCACACACACACACACAAATACTATGATTAATTATAAGAGAAAGCCCTCACTTAGATGTCAATATAAAAAAAGGTAAACGAACATACAAAATCTGATAGATGAAAACAGTTCTCCCAGATAAGACCAAAACTGAAAAATTACTTCTACACTTTAACCAAATGTTATACTTTTCCTCCCAGACTCTCATGTGTAGCTAAACCATCTTAAAATCCTTCTTGTCCAGCCATCTGGACACTGACTCCTGCACAGTGTTTCTCACTTACATCCTCCAGTCCTTTCCCAATGCCATAGCCTCCTTTACATCATGGCTTTTATATCCTCTAACCACTGAAATTTTATCCTGACTCTGCTTTGTATTTCTCATTTCCCTCTCTTATACTTCTTCATCTCAAATCTGCGGAAACAACCTAACACTCAACTCCGTTAGAGTTATGGCCCTCTTTAAAAGTCTGAATTTTATCCATTTCCTAGAAGAAAAAAAAAAAAGTTCCTGACACCGTAGCATGGCTTTCGAGATGTTCCATGACCCTCCCTAAATAACTTTCTCATTTTATCTCTCTCTAATCTTTCTTAAGTGCCCTATCTTTCACCCATCTTGAGATTTTTGGCTTTTCTCTAGCATGTTTAAATTGTGTTTTCTTCATATTTTAGGATTTATATTATGTCTTCTGCCTTAAATGTCCTTGTCCCCAATCTCTAAAAAATTCTACTCATTCTCCATGAACCATCTCCAAAAGTTCCCCCTTCCAGTACAATGCTTTGTACTCTCCTTGAAGTACTAAGTACTCTAAATCATAATTATTTTACTTATATCTCACCTTTCACACTGAACTGTAAACTATAGCAGAGATATTTGGTCCATATATAAGAATACATTTAATAAACAGATTTTACATCTTTTACTACTTAGCACAAGGCTTTTAGCATAGCAGAGGCTCAGTAATGTTTGATAAAGCAAACTGAATTTCTGCAAGGATATTCTTGTAAAATCGAGGGATGTAATTAAAATTCTAGAATCATAATATTATAAGGAGTGCATTGAATAAATTAAGGTTCTAAGATTTTGCGATGAAGATTCAAGTAGAGGATGGTGGGAACAAGAGATAGATTACTATAAGCTTCATAGCATCAGCAGTTAATATCTCTGGACACAGCCATAGCAATGTGCCTTCAACTTTAAAAGGTGTCAAATGAGGCAGGAAGTCATCATCAATATCCCTTCCCATTGATAACATGGGATAAGGCAGTAAATACTTCCCGAATCTTTTTCCATGACTTTCTCTCTAGAGGCCACACAGGAAGTATATAGGGGAGTGCAAGGGAGGCAGACTACAGACATTGTAAGAAATTATCATCCAAGAAGATAAAGAAAAAGAAAACTGTGCCTCCTCCTCTATTGGTGCCATTTGGCCTGGAGCATTTTGCCAGACTCTGGAATTATGTTCACTTTGCTTTAGGAATATACCTTGAAGAAGATTCCAGACTCAAGAATCAGTTCCAATGTCTCCTTCAAGGTGATCCTGATGAGGGGTCAATCCCAGGAACCTATCCTTTTCTAATTTCCTTAGTCATTTCAACCTCAGAGAGGAAATGGCAATGCCAGTCCTATACTGTATAAGATGTCATGGCATGCCAGAATGCTGAAAATCTTACCAAAGTTATTTCCTCTGATTCTACACTTCTCTTATGGAAGAAAAGACTGAATTATCGAAATATTATATCAGTAGCTTTCTATGGCATTCTTAGCCTGATTCAGAAGCCACAGATATTTAATCTAAAATTATTGAAATAATTCATTATGAAAATACATAATATGTCAAAAATTACAGATTTTTGATTTACTACAAAGGCTAGAAAGAAGGTAAGTAGATTTGAGGCTGTAAAAATGTCTTTCTTAATTCAGTGATATAAGGGAAAACATAAAAAAGGAGGTAAATTTTTTAAGCAATAATTTTGCAGATCAGATAAATTTCTATATCCATTATCTAAAAATATAGCTAAACGACCTAATCATTGTAAAAAATGTTTTTGCTGCATGTAACATTTTGCTAATTTTGGACATAATGGAAAACTCTTGCCTTATGAATAATAAATTTGTATAAAAACTCTATCAACATATAATTTGTAAGCTTTCCAACAAGAAGTCTAATGGAAGTTCAATAAAGTATATTAGGAGCTCACCATTTTTTTTAATTACACGAGTCTGCTGCTTCATTTGATCATTTGGAACACCAAAAACTTCTATAATTACTAATGTGTCACCTTTGTTAGATGATGAATGACTAAGAGGCAACTGGATACCACTGATGAGCTGCGCAAACATATATGAATATAAGAATTTAGCAAAATATTAAATTACATCACTGTTTACTCAAAATTAAATTATGTATTACAAAAAGTTGATAGACTGTAAGTTCCCACAAAAATTGAAAGTGGAATATAATATGTAATACAAATTTTAAAATTTAAGTCTTTTATCCACAATTATCAGTAGACAAACACCAAGAATATGTCCAAAATTATGGTAGAATCCACAATGTCCATAATTTTTGATTCATTAACGTATTTTTGTTTTAAAATCATTTGTCATTATCACATTTTATGGGATTCAGATTCAGTTACTCTGATAACATGTACTGTTTTTGAATGCATATATATATATATGCTGCAAAAAAATTAAAAGCAATATAAATATTACTTTTTAAAAAGTACCATTTAATTTCCCATCATAGCATTTTCATAATTTGACAAAATCGGTTATTTTATATGTATATTAGGGACTGGGTATCCAAAAAAATCTTAACAAAGTAATTAATAATAATTGCATTTAAACTTTTATTTGCTAACTGTTGAAGCAAAGATTGGTTTTAATTTAAGGAACAAAATGAGCACACAAGAAAACTATATTTGAAATGTTCTAACTTAAGCTAAGAGATAGAAGACATAAGCCTAAAAATGCAGTTATAAAAATTGAGGCATAATTCTAATTTCTGAAGGTTACATAAGGAGAAACAAATATATAATTAAGTTTGATTATAAAGGAATAAAGGAAGGAAAAGAGGAAAGAAAGGAGGGAGAGAAGGAGGAGAAGAGACAAGAAAGGAAAAGAAAAACCACTAATGTGTAATTTTTCCTAATTCCACAGATTATGGCATTAGCTAGAAGCCAGTGTGACTGTGCAACTATTTAGCAATCAGTGTGGAATGGGCATCAGCATAAACAGACATCAAAGTAATTAGAAAGAACAATGGCCATTAACATTTAGTACACTGGTCCCAGTGCCACTGCAGACGAAATATCACTCTGCAGGTAATAGACCCTTACCAAAATGGAGTAGGTTCAGCTTGGTGTAACTCACTCCAGAATAAAAAATTACCTAATTTTGAAAAACATATTTGGATACCAGAGCTGATTGAGAATATAGGGCAAGCTTGTCCAACCTGTGGCCTACATGCAGCCAGGGGTGGCTTTGAATGTGACCCAACACAAATTCGTAAACTATCTTAAAATATTATGAGATATTTTTTGCATTTTTTAAAGTTCATCAGCTATCAGCTTTCAAAAGATTGGACACCCCTGATTCAGGGAATATTGATTTGCAAACAAATTTACAAATTTGTTTGTAGAGGAGCCAGTGCAGAGGAATGAATGTCAAACAAAAAGCCCTCAATAATCAACACTGTTTTTATCCATTAGCCTTACTCATAAGATTTTGGATTTAGAAAGCAGTCCTGTAGTTTTTATAAATTTGAAAATAACTGGCCTAGACCAAAACTCTCAGATTGCAGATGACAAGAGTAAACCAGAAATGTCAGATCCCTTCATCAAGAACTTAAGAACGCTTACCGTAAAACTAGGCCCTCAGATTCCCAAATCATGCCTCTACAATCTGTACAAGTCAAAAAGTAATCATAAAGCTCCCTAGAGTGATCAAGGCAACAGACAAAGACCCACATGGCCATGGCAGCAGCTTCCCTGAGAATCATTAACTCTCTATGACACTTACATCTCAACAAGAGACTGCTCAGAATACTAACGTGGCATTTGTGATGAGGTGTGTACACTAGCTGCCTTCCACCTTCGCTTTCTCAATAAAAGAGCACATATGTTCTGTTTACTATTCTTGCCAGAAAAAATAATGTATTTGTTCAATGAACCTAGACGTATTGGCCGTATACTTTGTGTCATGCACAAATAGGAATGGAACATAATACATCTTTTTTTGGCGGGGGATGAAGTCTAGCTCTTGTTGCCCAAGCTGGAGTGCAATGGCACGATCTCGACCCACTGCAACCTCCACTTCCTGGGTTCAAGCAATTCTCCTGCCTCAGCGTCCTGAATAGCTGGGATTACAGGTATGTACCACAACACTCAGCTTATTTTTTGTATTTTTAGTAGAAACAGGGTTTTACCGTGTTAGCCAGGCTGGTCTCAAACTCCTGACCTCAGGTGATCCTCCCATCTCAGCCTCCCAAAGTGCTAGGATTACAGGTGTGAGCCACCGCACTCACCCACATCTCTTATCCTTAAGAAATCCTCACACAAATGAAGACAAGTAACAAATAAATGAACAGTTATAAAACAGTGATAAATGTGATAAATGTATAATATACGCATGCAGAGGGCGTTACGGAAAACAACAAAGCTACAAAAAGAAGCACAGCTAACCTAGCCTAGGAAAATGCTTTCAAAAAGAAGTGATTCCTAAGTATTGAAAAGTGAGTCAAAATGGGGTAGGCAGGTGAAGGCTGAAAGAATACTCTAGTGACAGGAAGAACATACACAATTCATGGAGGCAAGTCATGGTCAGAGAAGGATCCTAGTTCTATATGGTTGTAGAACAGGGTGAAAGACAAGAAGTGGTGAGAGAGAGAGCCAGACAAGTAGGCCAAGGCCTAAGAAAGTCAAGAGACGCAAATAAATACTATGTATGCATGATCAGATTAGCACTGCAGCAAAATCTATCTGGTCAACCTGTGGAGGATAGAGATGGAGGACTCAGACAAACTACCTGAAACCATCAGGAAGCCAAAGGAATAGACCTGATGACAGGTAGCAAATTCCTGATACAGGACAGCAGCAAAGTAGGTCAGATCAAAAGAATGGAGAAGGAAAACATTTAGGAATTTAAAGTTGGTCTGCATGTGGGAAATGAAGGGTATGTGGAAGATTAGAATGGTTCTCAATTTTCTAGTCTGAGCACAGTGGAAGAATGAGGCCATTTGTGGAAATTTAAATAAGAATAGAAGTAGATTTGACTAGGAAGAGATGTTCAAGTTTTAATATTTTAGCTTTGACAGAATGGTGATTACATAGGTGAGGATGCTCAGTGAGCTAAAATATGCCTTTAGATTCCCAAAATGAGGTCCAATTAAAACTTGAGCATTGTTGGTAGTGAAACTATGAATGTTTTTGTAACAGAACCCAAGGAGAGTCATTTGCGACAAGGTTTAAGGAAAGACTTTAGTTAACATAAATATCTTAAGGGAAGGCAGAGAAAGAGGAAGCCACAAATAAAATTGACAATCACTTGGAAGGTAGAGGGTAAAAGGAGAGTCCAGTCCCAGAGCACAGAAAAGCAATGTGTGTAGAAATGGAAGGAATCTTCAACCTGGTTGATTTGCCATTTCTTTTTAACCAGATCAACTACAAAAAGGATTCCAACATTATGATAATGTTGTAAAGTGAACTCAGTGGTTAATACTTTGCCAGACCTTGAAAGAATATTAACGATCCAGTGTTGTAGGTAATTGCTTTCTAGCCACTAAATGCTTCTACATCCGAGTTACAAACTCCTTAACAGACAATAGAAAAGTCAGCTACGTAATTCATAGGCACTGTTTACTGCAATGGTCAGGATCTTTCTAGTCCTGTTCATCTTTGCTATACCTTCCACATTAATTTCTGGAAAACAGCTCTGAATCCTCTCATTCTCAGCTGAGATAAAGTGGCTAGGGCCTGAAGCAGACATGGCATGTAGTTTCCCAAATCCTGTTGTATTAGAATGGTGGAAAAAGGAGCTGAGCTAGGAAGAGTCACAGGAGAAGCAAATTCTGGAAGCACCAGCATTCCTGTGCTCTGACAGCCAGGTAATGAGGAGCAGGGGAACACTCAGCAGCTAGCAGAGCTTCACTAATTACATGCTGGTCAGGGACGAAAACATAAGTACTTAACAAAATTCCAGGTAGGATCTGAGATATAGTTCTAGGAGTACCCAGTTATGTAGAAAGAGGGGCCAATGAAATCATACCCACTCTATTGATTTGCAAACAACAGGTACGGTTACACCCTAAAATAGAATTGCTCATAAATGGAGAGAAAAAGCAACAAGAGGTTTTTCAAAAGATTTGGTGACATTTTTAAAAGAAAATAAACATAGCATTTAGGTTATAGTGGAAGAAGAAAGATGTTTTGAAAAGTCTTTACTAATGGAAAAAAATCTTAGACACTGCTTTTATGCTCCATAAGGTTTTACAGGATGTAATTTTAAAAAAAGATAAAATAATAAGACAAGAGTTTGGAGGAAGGGTACTAAGTGGGATACAGACAGAAATAAAAAGGAAGCAATAGGAGGTCAACCGCAACGGGGCGGGAGGACTAATAATGCAGGAGAAAAAAATCATTACATTAAAATTAAAACTAAATCAGTAAGGAACAAAATCAAATGCAGACTTTGAATGATCAACATAAAGGAAAAAAAATGTTAAAAGCTTTCCCAACATACAGTGGAAAAGGAAATATGTTAAAGTTGACACAAATTAACAGAGACAGAAGACAGATACTGGAGAAAGACATAAAAATAATTTTTCTTTTTAAGTAATCAAATGATATTCACAGACATATGGGGGGAAAAATCCTGACCTACAAGATCCTAATAGTGGACACTGAGGAAAAAACAACAGCTCATAAAATTTCCTGGTAAAATCCATCAAAGGCAAGAAAAAGCAACATGTTCACAACGTAGTTAGTGGGCTAGCCTGTGACCTGTATCTCACAATGTTAAATTCCTAAATATAATGAAATCATATAAGTAGAACTTTGAGAGGAAAGGTTTTAGCCTCAATGTGTCTAATCACAGGCAGCTAATCATTCATGTAAAATTGCAGCAGGAAGACATTTTTCAGATGTAGAAGGATGCTGAAATACTGCCCACATACAGTACCTGAAAAGATTAACAGAAACTTAAATTAAAGCAAATCGGTGGAATTCAAAATACTAATGAATACTATCTAGTTTATGTAATAACCAAAAAATTAAAGTTATTCATCTTACCCTTATTGTAAGTGTAATTGGCATACTCTCTTTTATGTTACTTGGGTTAAAGTCTGATTTACTATCTATTAAGAAATGTGGTTTCAAAATATATCCAGAACCACCATTATCCAAAAATTTCCCATTTTGCAGATCCATAGGCAGACCAGGAGTCTGGAAATTTAAAGCCACTGTAAGAAACAAGTATTTTGACATCATTAAGAAATAGAGAATACAAATAAAGGAACACAATTAAACCATTTACTGAAATATAATAATCATGGATTATATGTCCCTGAATGTTCTATGAGCAAGCATCATTATCCTAATAATTCATGATTTTTAAATCTTTTTCTTCTGCCATCTCCATATTAATGAGTTCCAAAGTTTAATCTGTAATAAGCTACTACACAGCTCTGAGTAAAGAAATCAAAATGGTATCCAGTATAGAGTATAGAATAACAATGTTCATGTCAGGTAACACTTAAGAAATATGAGAATAAAGAGTATCAGTACATTAAATGCAAGAAATAAAGCAATCAACTATGTCATAAATGAAATTTCAAGTCCAAGTGATGCTGTCGTCACTTGAGGAGAAAGTGAGAAACAGGCAAAGCCATAATTGCCATTAAAATAGGGAAGTATCATTGATATAGGCTGGTAAATAGCCACTGTCAAGAGTACCACCCTCCACCTCCCACCCAGCCCTGCTGTTCTCCCTCCTCACACCTACAGGCCTTGCCACAATCCAGTAGAAGGGTAACACCTGGTACTTTCTGACTGGTTAGTTCAGTGCTGTACCAGCTGTGCAATTTGGAATAAGAATGTGATGAGAACAAATAACAAAGTTGTGCAATCTTACTCACTTTTCAAGGCTATGACTGTAGAAGCTCATGTAAAGTATAAATGATAGAGGTCATTTGATTTGAAGAGGCCTTGAACATATCTCAAGCAAAGGAATTTGATCTTCAATGTCCATTTGGGTTTCCTTGTGCCTTTCTTCCACCACACATGTCTCATATTAACTCCTCATGAATTTAACCACCATTCCCTAAACCATCACCCAGATTTACCCACCTTCAACCCAGTTAGGAATGACTTCAACTCTTAAAACCCATGATTCACCATTAGTGCCTAACCCCAAACCCCCCCAAGAACAAAAAATCTTTACAAAAAGCCTTTTGCATGAATGTTTCATACATCCATAAAGTAAATTCATTTTATGTTACTTTTGCAAACAACTCAATATCCTATATAACATACCCATTTGACAACCTATATTCCAAAATTCTTGGGGATTAAAATTAGAAGAGTCTGCTCTTGTTGCTTTGGGATATATTCTGGTAATGAACTTCCTGGTGTGAAAAATAAACTCATGGGCTGAAAAAGAATGATTAAAACATTGTGAAAGAGTTTAAGTGAATTAACTAAGCCACTATTTCTATATATGCCATATAATTCTATAATAGTTTCAACAATTTTCGTATGTATTGTCTTGGCAAAAATTTGCAATGCATGAAAATCAGAATAAATCCATGCATTTGTTTATAATGTAATTCACTATTATTTAGATGTTAGTGACAATTTTATCACAAAATTTATATACACTGATTATTCAAGGAGAAATTGATTAGATAATTTATATATTTTTTTACATCCAAAGTATTTCACTCTGTTGTAATAATACATAAAATTCCAAAATAAAATGCATGCATTTTTCAAAACAAAGGCAGCATTTTTTTTTCCATTATTTTTCCATTTTGATTTTTGCAGTAGGACAGAATCACATGGAAGTCACACAAAGCTGTATGATTCCAGCTAAATTAATCTTACTTTCACAGATTCTCAGGGTCAAAAGGTACCTCAGAGTTGTCCAGTTCTACTTCCAACCCCTTCATTCCAGCATCTTTCTCCAAAGTTTATTCAATCTGTGTGTACATCTCTCTATTGAAAAACTCTCAATGCTTTTAATTATTTCAAATGTCTTTCTTACTTGGATAATCTTTACATACTTGTAGTATACACAGATACAGAAACAAACATACACATGCAATCTATTTCGGTTTCTATATGTATTATTTGTGTTTCTTCTTTTCTATATAATATTTAAGTCACTTGATATTCAAACTAACTTACACCCTTTATCATTTGGCACCTGCTTCAAATTTTTGAACACAGATTTCATGCTTCTCCAAGGTTTTTCTTTTTTCATTAAACAGATCCTGTTTCTGCAACCATTCCTGCTGACGTAGTGACTCATCATGGGAGAATGGTTATTGCTTATGGCTTACTTCATTTGCTAATCCAACTAGAATCAAATCACCTTCCTCCTCACTCTAAATATTATTATTTCAGAAGCATTGTCAAATTAAAAATTACAGTTAATTTTATCAATATGCATTTTCAAAGTTACACAATCCTTGAGAGAAAGTTTATCTCAAAACCATGTGTGTATTAATGCCACATAGGTGTCCAAGTATCATACTCCCTTATCTAGTACTAACAGATGTCTGTCCTTAGGCAAAACACATACTCTCCTAAGTTTAATGTTTCTCATTTACAATGTAATAAATATGAATGATGACTAAGGTCTCATAACATAATACGATTTTGTTATTTCTGAGATTAACCTTTATAAATTAAACATGTTTGTTATTACAAATGCAGTTCATGTTCACTGTAAAATAGGAGAACATCAAAGAACAAATAAAACCATATGTAATCAGCCAATTGATAACCACTGATAACTCCTTGATGTATATATCTTTCCATTCTTTTGTATGTGTATAATTTTTAGTGGAATAATAATGCCCCCTTTCATAAGCCACAATTATTATTTACTAAAATAATGTGAATATCATTTCTTTTCAATATTCATCTGCATTATTTTTAATGATTTTTATTATGTTTATAATAATAATTGGCATCCTTGAAGTTAAACCTTTGCTGACTTCATTAATTATTTACTATTAACTTTTGGTGCAAGAAAAATGCTCTATACCCCTTCCAGGAGATAGTAATGCTATACTTTGACTCTACTCAGAACTATCCAATTCTTTTCCAAATTTTTTTGCAAGTTTTTAATATGAAAGTAGTATAATTATAATTGAAAATACAATAATTTGAAGGAACAGAGACCAGTAAAGCATGTCATTCAAACTCTTAAGCATACCTTACAGTAAAAAAATACATTTTACAGTCCAACACACATGCACCTTGCACAATTGTGCTTACAATACAGTCTTCTATTTTATTCCATTCCATTGTACTCTACCCTACTCTATCCTATGCTATTATTTAATAGTAGTCCAGACCTACTGAATTGATTTTTGGTTACAACCCACAGGTTAAAAAAAGAAAAGAGCCTTTAAAAAATCCAGGATCTCTCTAATAGATAGAGAATATGAACTAAAGTATTCTTCAAAATCCTTGAGTACCTGTGACCAGCCCAATGCGGTTAATCATTAAATATATCAGAATCTGCATTCCCAAACAGTCAGCAACTTTTCTCAAGTCAATTGGAGGTGCTGATTTTCCTTCTGTGTTATTTCTACACTAGATGGTAGATTGCACTTTTTTAACTTTTAATTTTTGTGGGTACGTAGATATATATATTTATGGTATACGTGAGATATTTTGATACAGACATACCACATATAGTAATCACGTCAGGGTAAGTGGTGTATCCATTACCCCAAGCATTTATCCTTTGTCTAACAAACAATCCAATTATACTATTTTAGTTATTTTTAAATGTACAATAAATTATTGTTGACTGTAGTCACCTTTTGCACTATCAAATACTATGTCTTATTCAATCTATCCAACCATAATTTTGTATCCATTATTGTCCCCACTTCTCCCACACCCCCACTACTAAAAAAAATTGTCACCTGGCTATTAAATTAGTTGCACTTTACCTTTTAAGTTTCAGACACCCCCCACATAATGAGTCTTCTTCCCATTCTCTTTCTCAGGCCCTGTTTTACCTTGGGCACTGCCTAACAGAAAACCACCTCAGGTTTAGAATTGGAGGCAATGAAAAGAAGATGCAGAGACAGACGACACCTCTAGAGGTGTGCAGTGTGGCATGCACACTCTGCACAGCCATCTGGTAGTCCAGACTGGGCGTCAGTTTTTCCCCTTCCTTCACCATAGACATAGAGCCTCCAAGTTTGATTAACTCTACCCCCTTCGATGCCTATTAAATACACAAAGTTTATCCTGTCTCCGCTGTCACTGCCATAAACCTTTATTACCACCTTTCTGCCTGCAATCTCACCCTTTAGCTGCTATCAGAGGCATTGTTTAGAAATGCAGTGAATCATGCCACTGCTGAGATTTCAATCTCTCCTGCTCACCTTCACTCCTAGAACAAAGTTCAAGCCTTCCAATTTGGCTCTGCCTCCCTCTGCAGCCCTGCCACTGCTCTCCCATATAAACTGCTCGATACAGCCCCCCACCCTCAACGAAGGTGGCCACATCGGACATTCTCAATCTAAATGTCATGGGTTAGAAAAGTTAATTAATGGCTATGTTCTGTGAAATAAAACTTAACGAGACCTGAGGTATGTAACCCCTTTCTAAATTTTGCTAAATATGTTGAAATTTTATAAGACTATACATTTTATAAATATCATTGAGCAATCTTAACACCCTGGCAGAGGATCTAACTCATTTAAACATTTATTCCATTTGAATCATAAAAATTTACCTCTCAATTTTGAAAGTTTTCGGGCTTGTGTCTCCCCAATAGAATTATTTTCATTAAATTGCTGATACAATCTTGAATGTTGAAAGTTTCTGAACTTCTCAGCTTTAGTATAAATGACAAGATCAGATAAGGCCAGAGAAATTTTTAGCTTCCTGATCTAAAAATAAAATGCAGTAATTTCACATTTTTATGCTAATCATTGGGAAAAATCTTTTTCTAATAAAACATACTTTGAAATAAATGATTTTCATTTTTTCATTAGATTATCTCCTCAAACACCATTTGTATTAACTCAATGTGGTTATTTTTGGGAACAAAAATATTTAATGTTATATAAACTAGCTCAAATTTAAAATCATGATTAATGTAATAAGTATTGAGGACCACAATTATTACTATTTGTTTTTTTCATAAAGATCTCACTATATTCCTTTGAATTTTATAAATTTAGGAATTTTCATCATGAATAAATTTACTTTGAAATGACTTTTATTATATAGTGAACATTTGCCATCTCACAATCCGGCATCTATTTCTCTTACACTTCTTTTTAGCCATTTCCCAAGTTTTGTTGTGGGAAAACATTTCTTGCTCATGCTGAATCCAAGCATGAGTCATGTAGGTTGGGCGGGCTAACCAGAGCTTTGCATTTCCCTAGCAACAGTAATTGGTTCAGGGATGTGACCATAACCAGATGAGAGCCAACGTACCAAAAAATAAATAAAATAAAAATTGCTTGCTCTGCCAACAGATAGGCATGCCACTGGATTTGAAGCTGAAGTGATATAAAGCTGAATTTTTGCAATAGTCTTGCAGCAACACAGAGAAAGTGGGAGCAAAGCTGGAGAAAGAAAGAAAGTTCTGCTAACTTTATGTGAGACACTATATCAAGTCATTTTTGAAATTGAAATCCCTTTCACTGCATTTTTCATCTATGCAGGCCAATTATCATTTTATCTAAACCAGCTGGATTGGGTTTGTGTCACATACAACCTAATGTACTTTCTTTCATCATGCTAATGTATATACATATAACACTACCTATTATAAACATTGATTCTTGTCTCTGCCTTTACTAATACTAGGGAATTTATGTTGTGTATCTCTGTATCTTTTGCACTTTGTACAAAGTATGCTTCATAAGAGTGCATAATATTTATCAACTATAGAGAATTTTTTTATTTTTACATATTTATTTTTGAGACAGGATCTCATTCTGTTGCCCAGGCTGGAGTGCAATGGCATGATCTTGGCTCACTGCAACCTCCACCTCCCGGATTCAAGCAATTCTCCTCCTTCAGTGTCCCAAGTAGCTGGAACTCCAGGCATGTGCAACCATGCCAGGCTAATTTTTGTATTTTTATTAGAGACAGGGTTTCACCATGTTAGCTAGGCTAGTCTCAAACTCCTAACCTCATGTGATTTGCCCACCTCAGCTTCCCAAAGTGCTGGGATTACACACACGAGCTACCGTGCCCAGCCTAGAGAAAAAAAAAAATTTTCTTAAGCAGCTAACATAAAAAAAGAGGCAATTTAAAAAATTTCTCTTCCATCATCAATGTTTTCAAAGTAAATTGTAAATGTTAGAGTTTTTATAAAAAGTAAAAAGATTTTTTCCAGAATTTTCAAAACTTCTCCACCAAGAATAAAATTAGAAAACTTTTTAATCACATGTAAGATTTTCACAAAGCACCACCTCACCTTCTTTTTCTTGAAAAGCATTACTCCAGATAGGTTTTTTACCCCTGTTTCCTTGTCTTGATTGTCTCCTGAAACAGATTCGAATATTTCCGACTCTTTGAATTTATCCTCCTCCTCCTCCTCTAGATCTGCCATTTCTTCTTCCCATTCCTCCACCTTACCACGCTTATCAGAACCTTTTCTTTCACGGGTTTCCTTCAAGGTTCCTATTTTCTTATTTTTAACTAATACTTTGAATTTTAGTGCCTAAGGAAACAATTTGAGAGATACAATTAACACATTTACAAGTAAATTTGCATTGTAACAGTCGTTGAAAAGTGTTTCACTATATGTTCAATTAGCCTACAGTAATAATATATGTAAGAACTCCATTTTTTCCCTTCTATTCATACCTCAGTACAGGAATGAATACAGTGATATAATGTTATTGATTATAATTCACCAAAAAATAAGCCTCTTATGATTGAGACTTACCATATGCCATTTCTTTGATATTTCACAAGCTGATGCTGTTCCAAAAATTGAAATATGTGAAAAGTATATATGTATAAATACCATAATATTGCAATTAAAATGTTACAACTTCTGTTAGTAAATACTTCAGCTCATCATTTTCTTATCCAACATTAAAAAGTATTAAATGAAATCAGGTATATTAAAATGTCTATCCTAAGTGTCTGGCATCTAGTATAGACTAAATTAAAGATTTGTAATAAAGACTTCAAATTTGTTCTGTATTACATATAAGCATCCTTAACTTAATATTTTCTGTCTATCAAATCTTGAAGCATAGCAAAATTTACCATCAGTGTCACTTGTTCTAAATTTGAAGGCTCTGGTTCCATTCTTTCACTTGGTTATTCCTGCCCTTAGGAAACTTTCCTTAATTTAATGAGTACATTTAAGCACCAGTTCTGTTATATACAATGCTGAAATCTGGATTATAAAGTTTTTTTCTCCAAAGAGCATTGATTGTCCTTTCCCTTTTGTCATCCTCAGGTATCCATTCAAATTATTCCATCATCTTGGATCTTATCTCTTTTAAATGACCCTTATGATACTCTGTACTGCAGAGTTTACCAAAGTACACTCTGCAATCCTATGCATCAAGAATATTATCAGAAGTGCTTGGAAAAGGGACAAATTCCTAGGATCTATTTCAAAATTAAAGAATTATATTCTCGAATTGTGGGGCTGGAATTGGGCCTCCTTAACAAGTCTCTAGGCTATTCTTTTACACACAAGGACAGAATATTGTAGGATAAAGTAACTTTTTTTTTTTTTTTTAAACAGAGCCTCACTCTGTCACCCGGGATGGAGTGCAGGATGAGATCTCAGCTTATTGCAACCTCTACCTCCCGCATCCAAGCAGTTCTCCTGCCTCAGCCTCCCAAGTAGCTGGGATTACAGAGTAACTTTAATTCTTCATTTTCTCATTGAAAATCACCTCCCTGCTTTAGTATGGAAGCTAAAATTTGAATGAAAGCTACATACTAGAGTGCTAGAAAAATAGATTCACGTATAATAGGAAGGAGGATTCTCTTACTAGAAAGCTAAAAATTATTATAATTTCCAGAATTGGGCTATGGCTTGGGTTTAATCTTTGATAATATGTTTCCAGCGCTTTACAAAATTCTTTACTATTTCTTTTCTGCCACAATTGAACACATTATGTGGGCATTCTTATGAGGCAAAAGAACTATGGTCTTTCCAATTATTACACAATGCCTTTTTTCTGTCTCAGTTCTATCGTGAGCCCTATATTTCTTGTCACTAGTGTCACAACACTTTCACTTTAAAAATTTTCACTGATTTAAATAAAATGTTAAAAGAAGTAAAATTTGAGGATCTTCCAAATTTATTATGCCAAAGGGAAGAGTTCAGCCCTGGAAACTCAGTCATGTAATACAGCTGTTTTTCTTATCTGGTGCCTGATTGTTGCTTCCTGACTTTTGTGTTGAGATGTTATACGTTGACCAGACTCCCTCTTCTTCATTCAAACCTAGACAAAATTATCTCAGAGATAGAGAACCTTGTAACTACCTCTTTACAATAAAATGTTAAGCAAACCTCTTAGAATGTAATCAACAGTAGCCAATCAAATCTTAAATCTGTATGTTAGCCATTGTATGGAAAATATTGTAATTCTCTTCAGCACATCTGTTTTTGCCTACATAAAACAATTTTCACTTTTTCTCACACCAGGAGCAATGACTACCATTTTTTACTGTGTGTCCCAGAAAGCTACCCTCACACTATACACTTGAATAAATTCTTCTAACTGAATCCTGAGCCTTTTGATTATTTTAGGTTGACAAATAAAATAAATAAGAAAAACACAGAGGGAAATATTCAAATATTACAAAAATATTGCTGTGTCTACCAAAAATGAAGACATGTCAAAACTAAACTATTGGTTGTTAGACAACACTATCATCAAAAAAAGTTTATTTATCGTCTGATAAAATTGGGAGTAAAAAGAAAGGCCCAGCAAGGAAAACTAAACAGGAGTAGTCAAAGAGGGGCAAGGGAAGGCTAAAGAATGTGATGTTACAGGCTGGGTGCAATGGCTCACACCTGTAATCCCAGCACTTTGGGAGGCCGAGGCAGGCAGATCACCTGGGGTTGAGAGTTCGAGACCAACCTGACCAACATGAAGAAACCCCATCTCTACTAAAAATACAAAATTAGTGGGGTGGTGGTGCATGCCTGTAGTCCCAGCTACTCAGGAGTCTGAGGCAGAAGAATCGCTTGAACCCAGGAGGCAGAGGTTTCAGTGAGCTGATTATGGCGCCATTGCACTCCAGCCTGGGCAACAAGAGTGAAACTCCATCTCAAAAAATAATAATAAGAAGAAGAATGTGATCTTACAACAGAAAGTGTTTCAGGGAAAGGAAGTAGAGGTCCACAATATTGAATGTTAATGAGAGAACAAATAGATGAAGACTAAAATGAGTTCATTAGAATTTATCATTAAGAAAATCTCTGATGAATGTAATGGGAACTTTCCTGTGAAGCAGTTAGAAGAGGAAGAGGGACTGGATAGGTTTCAAGGACACAAGAAAACGGAAATTTGGGCTGTGAGAGGGAGTAATAAAGAGAGAGCCAGAGAGAGAAGCGAAGTCCTGATAGTAGATATGGATGTGATTTTTCAAAGCAAATACTTCAGTATGCTCAAATTAAGATGGAAAGGGTCATAAAGACAGTGAAATTGAAAACAGTACATTTTCTAAAGGGGAACCTGCTACCTAGCTATTGAGATATTGGGTACTGGCTCTATTTACAGTCTAGAACTTTTGCCACTTTCTGAGACTTTTGCCTATAAAACATAACTAAATTTCTGGTCCCTAATACTAATTGCTTTGAAATTGGGGACCCATGAGGTAGGAGACACAATCAAAATGTGGATTTCACATAAAGATATATTCTCTTTATCAAAGTATATTCACCTAGATGTTCATGAGAACATTCCCTAGGCAACATTGCCAAGATAAACCTCTATGAGTGATCAAAAATAAGCATTTTCATTGGTCTCTAGCCCAGTTTCAAGGGGCAATATAACAGTGACATGTTTTCATGGAGTTTTTTTCGTAACATGAATTTCTCAGAAAAAAAAAAAAATGTTACCTCTGGTGATGGTAGAGTATCAGGAAAATCATCAAGCATATCAGAAAGCAAGGACTCTCCAAAAGTAGTCTGCAAATTGTCTGCCATTACTTCTTGTTGGGCAGGAGAGCAGTGATTTTCTAAAGAGAGTACCACTGGGTAGTCAGATGTCTAAAAAAGTAACCATTACTATGGTTATTCATCAAAACTTCTAAATAACTGTAATGTAATTAATATGTGTTTACTGTATTTTTAAAAAAAAAAAAAACTTCTAATGTTTAGTACCTTTGCAAAATAAGTAAGTATTCTTTAAACTGAAAGTACTCTTGAGTTTGCCAAAACAGAGACCATTAAATCTGTATAAAAAGAAAAATTTATTACCAATTATACCTAAAGAATAGGAACAACTGAAGCACCCATCAGTGAGTACTCGTTTAAATAAATTATACTGGCCAGGCTCAGTGGCTTACACCTGTAATCCCAGCACTTTGAGAGGCTAAGGTGGGTGGATCACCTGAGGTCAGGAGTTCGAGAACAGCCTGTCCAACATGGTGAAACCCCATCTCTCTAAAAATACAAAAATTAGCCAGGTGTGGTGGCATGTGCCTGTAATCCTAGCTCCTAAGGAGGCTGAGGCAGGAGAATCACTTAAATCCAGAAGTGGCAGAGCTATCTATACTGCTATAGAAAGTTATCTATGGATTTATGAAGAAAAGCAAGTTACCAAAAAGTAACATGCTACATTTTTATTTGTTGATATACAAATATCTAGATATTTTAAATGTGAGACAAAAACATTATTAACACTCATGAGTTGGGGGAAATGTTAATATTCTGCTTTTTCAGTTTTAAGTTTTGTAATCAAAAGTCATTGTTTTAAAATTAGAAATGATAAAGATATTTCCAGTTTCTAATAGTAAAGGAGTGAAGCTTCTGCCCTTTCTCACTGCTGTAACTTCAAAACTTGCCATAAAATCAAAACATCATTGGATCTAATTTAAGATTTGTTCTTTGTTTTGATTTCATGTATACTTATCAGAGCATAAATTTACCAGTTTGTGAAAAAGGCCAGGGAATCACAAGTCTTGCTGCATTTTCACAGCACACAGAACAGAATAGATAATTACTATGTCTTTTTAATGTATGAGTATATTGCTTTGTGACTACTGTGATAAAAATTACAACAAACCTTGGTGGTTCAAAACAACATTTATTCTCTCACAATCTAGTCACCAGAAGTTTGAAGTCAGTTTCACTGGTCTAAAATCAAGGTGTTGGCAAGGCTGCACTCCCTTGGGAGGCACTGGGGAAGAATCCTCCTTGCCTCTTCCAGGTTTAGGCGGTTGCCCGCATTCCTCCACTTGTGGCCACATCTCTCTAATCTCTGTCCCTGTCTTCCCATTGCCTCCTCCTTTGGTGTATCAAATCTCTCGACTTCCTTCTTATAAAAGTGCATATGATGGTGTTTAGAGCCCACTCAGATAATCCAGAATAATCTCCACATCTAGAAGTGTTTAACTTCATTACATCTGCAAAAACACTTCTTCCAAATATAACAACACTTACAAGCTCCAAGAATTAAAACTTAGTATTTTTGGAAGCCCTTATTCGACCTACACAATGACCTTCTCAATTAGTGAGTCTATTAACTCATTCTGACCCCAACAGAATAGTGTAAATCTTTTTCCAAATATAGTAAGTAATTCTGAGACTGGGCAAAGTGATAGCCTAGAAGGTGAATTCTTCCATGTGGCCCTGAAAACACTGATGTCATTTCTCAGTGTTCTTGGCTCCATCCTCTGGGAAGATTCTCTTTCTTTTATCTTTGGCCACATTGAAAGTGGATGTTGAGGAGTTTGCTCTCTTGAAAGCCAAGCAATGTTTGCAGTGCATTTCCTTACCAAAGCCTGTTTTAAGGCTCACCTAAGATCATACTTGTGGGTTGTTTTTTTTTTTGTTTGTTTGTTTGTTTTTTTCTGGCAATACAAGTCCCGCAAAACTTAGATGTCTTATATATTTGTGCGAGTAAACTCATGCAACTAGACTCAAGGTTTTTTCCTAGTCATAGTTATCATGTATTTAATTTCATGTCCTCTTTTTCCAAATTAATAGTGATTACCTTGGGTAGGAAGTCTAAACTTTAATCTGATCTATGCTGCAAAACTGAGTCATCTTGTTCAGCTGGGAAGTCTCATTGAGTTTTCATTGCTCAAAGCTTTGTTTAAAATCTCACTTCTTTTGGGTGTCTTAAATAAATTTTATTGTGTATACTTAGGGTATACAACATGATGTTGTGGGATACATGTCGATACTAAAAACGTTATTATAGTGAATCAAATTAACATATCTATCTATCCATGATCTCGCAGTTACCCTTTTTTAAATTTCTGTGGCAAGAGCAGCTAAAATTTACTTACTCAGCATGAATAATATAAACAGTACAATTTTATTACCTATAATCCTCATTTGGTACATTAGATACCTAAACTTTTTCATCCTAGATATGTGGTACTTTGTAGCCTCTGACCTACCTGTCTCCATTTTCTTCCTGCTCCCCATATCTCATTCCTGTCAACCACTGTTTTGTTCTTGATCTCTGTATATTTTAGAGTTGTTTTTTTTTTAATTCCACATATAAGTGAGATCAGCCATCATTTATTTCTGTGTCTGGCTTGTTTCAGTTAGCATAACCTCCTCACCCATGTTGTGGTAAATGGAAAGATCTCATTCTTTTTAAAGACTGAATCTTATTCCATTGTATATATCTATTTTCTTTCTCCATTTGTCTGTCAGTGAACACTTAGGTTGTTTCCATATCATGGCTGTTGGGAATAATTCTACAATGTACAATGCAGCACAAATATCTTTATGAGATGGTGATTTAATTCGCTTTGGGTATGTATCTAGAAGAGGGATTACTGCTTTTATGGTAGCTCTATTTTTTTAATTTCTGTAGCAACCTTCATGCTGTTTTCCCATTGGTGTTACCAATCTACATTCCCACCAACAGTGTACACAGTTCCCTTTTCTCCACACCCTCACCAACATTTGTTATCTTTTGACTTTTTCATGAGACCTTCTGACATGGTAAGACTGTGAGGTGGTATCTCATGGTCATTTTGATTTGCATTTCCCAGGTGACTAATGTCAAGAACCTTTTCATATTCCTGTTGGCATTTTTATGTCTTCTTTGGAGAAATGTCTATTAAGATTTTTTGTTCATTTTTTAATTGAGTTGTTTTTTATTTTCCACTAATGAGTTATATGAGTTCTTTATAAATTTTGGATATTAATCACTTATCAGATACATGGTTTGCAAATATATTTTTCTAGTCCATAGGCTGCACTTTCATTTTGTTGATTGTTTTCTTTGCTGTGCAAAAACTTGTTAGTTTGATGTAGTCCTAGTTATTTATTTTTGCTTTTGTGATCTGAGCCTTTGATGTAATATCAAAAAAAAATCATTGCCAAAATCAGTGTCTATGAGCTTTCCCCCTATGCTCCCTTCTAGGATTTTCATAGTTTCTAGACTTATACGTAGGGTTTTTTTTTTAATCCATTTTAAATTGATTTGTTGTGTATAGTGTAAGATAAGTGTCTAATTTCATTCTTTAGCATGTTGAAATCCAGTTTTTTTAGTACCATTTAATGAAGATACTATCCTTTTTCATTATGTCTTCTTGGTCTCCTTGACAAAAATTAGTTGACCATATATGCTTAGGTTGATCTCTAGTCTCTCTATTCTGTTCCACCGGTCTATATGTCTGTTTCTCTGCCCAGGACCATGCTGTGTTGATTACTATAGCTTTGTAATATAATTTTAAGTCAGAAAATGTGATCCTCCAACTTTGTTTTTATTTCTCAGAATTGTTTTGGCTATTTGAAATCTTTTATAGTTCTTTACAAATTTTAGGAATCTTTTTTCTACTTCTATGAATAATGCCATTGGAATTTTGATAGGGATTGCATTAAATCTGTATATTGTAGCCTGGTATAGTTACTCACACCTGTAATCCAAGCCCTTTGGAAGGCCAAGGTAAGAGGATCTTCTGAGGCCAGAACTTTGACACCAGCCTGGACAACATAGCAATGCCACACTCCAAGGGGGGAAAAACCCTGTATATTGCTTTAGATAGTACGAACATTTTAGCAATATTGTTTTATATCTTCTGATTTAGGAACATAGGATATCTTTCCATTTATTTGTGTCTCCAATTTCTTTCATCCATGTTTTATAGTTTTTAGTGTACAGATCTTTCACCTTCTTGGTTAAATTTATTCCTAGATATGTTATTTTTACACTATTATAAATGAGATTATTTTCTTAATTTCTTTCAATTAGGTCATTATTTGTGTATAAAAATACTACTGATTTAAATATGTTGATTTTGTGTCCTGAAACTTTACTGAATTCATTTACTTCTAACAAGGTTTTTTGTGTGGAATCTTTAGGCTTTTCTATAGACAGGATTATGTCATTTGCAAATAAAAATAATTTTGCTTCTTTTCTTCCTATTGGAAAGAATAGAAAGTATTCCCTTTTGTTTCTTTTTCTTAACCAGTTTCCCATTTCTTGCTTTTTGGAATCTTAGAAACTGTAGGCTTTTCATCTTTGGAAGGCCTTTGAATTTTAAGACTGTCTCTACTTTTTAAAACTTATTTTTGCACTCTGAATTCGGTGAGGGAGTTAACCATGCAAATATTTGGGAAGAGTATTTCATATTAAGGGGAAATAACAAGTACAAAGGCCTTGAGATGTGTCTGAAAAAGACTAAGGAGGCCAGAAAGGCCAAGTGAACAGGGATAGAGTAGCAGGAGAGTTCAAACTGGTAATTAAAAACTGACCACTTAGGGCCTTTTGAGTCATTGTACAAATTTTAGCTTTTATTTTTGAGTGAGGCTGAAGGCTTTGAGAAGGGCAATGACATAATCTGACTTACCAAAAAGTCACTCTGGCTGATATTTTGAGATGAGACTGCAGAGGAGTAAGGAAAGAAGCAAGAATACCAGAGAAGAGGATATTGGGATCATTTAGGTGAGAGATGATGTTGGTTGACTGAGAAGTGACAGTAAGAATGAGAAAAAGGAATTAAATTCAGGATACATTTTAAAAGTAAAGCCAAGATGATTTGCTGAAAAATCGAATGAGGGGCTTGAGAGAAGGAGAAGAAGGTTACGGCTGGCAAAACAGATTTTGGCTGGGGCATATGGAAGTTGCCATTAATGAGATGGGGAAGGCCATGGCAAGAGCAGGACTAGAGAAATATCAGGGAGCTCAATTTTAAACATGTTAAGTTAAATACGCGCATTCAATATCTAAGTGGAAAAGTCAAATAGGCAGTTGTGTACATTGGTGTGAGCTCAAGAAAGCGATGGGAGTGGAGATATGTGAATTTAGAAATCAGAAATTACGTGTTTAGGAGAATCAGTGCCATATTCTCAATGTTTTTATATTAAGATAAAAATTGTTCATATATAATATTTGTATCTTTGGAATATTTATTTTGTACTCTATTTTAATATATAGTAGATAAATTTATATATATTTGTGATTTTAAGTTTATGCTGACAGATTATGTAATGTATTGACATAGAAGTTAATCACATTTGTAAATTTAATGTATTAGGTACACATGACATAGTTTTAGTAATGTAGTAAGAATTTGTTTAGTCATTTTGATGGTACTAAAATGTACTGTAATTGAAGGGCTTTAGAAATCAAATGTGTTAAGTTTACAAAAACAACTTAAAATGTCTGAAGGTACAAAATTAGTCACATTGATAAATGAAACCAAATGTTCAGTACTCCTTAACATTGAGGGATTGCAAAAACCTGCTCAATTTATAGAGTAGGATTCATAGACTGAGCTTGAATTCTGGGAATAACTGTATCTTTGAATCTGTAATAAATTAAAATTTTTTGAATCCAAAGTAAACTTCTGAACATTTCTTGCTATATAAATAGCTATCATTATAGTCATTAAAATGTCAACAATTGAAATGATGCATTGTTGACACATTTTATTTGTCTTGAAAGTAAAATAGTTGAATATTGGTAAAATATTTGCTATTACCTAGACCAGTATTTCTCAAACTTTCCTGGCCGTCATCCACAATAATAAATATATTTTACATTGTTGAACAATACACACACACACACACACACACACACACACACACACACACACGTGCGTAAACAAAAATTTCCATGAAACACTATGTACCTTACTAGCTGAAACTAACTTTGATAAATCTACCTTTAACTATATGCAACATGGATTTCACTGCCTGCTAATGGATCGTAACCCGCAATTTGAAATCACTGATCTAAAGTAAGGCTACGCATTATAGGATTTTGAAAGAAGTAAATTAGAATTGCTTCTGTTTAAATAACTACAGTTGAACAAAGATATATACATACCATGAATGCATATTTGTGTATTGCTTGGATAACAGTTTTAAACAGAAGTTTGCTGGTGAGGGTGTAGCCATGATACACAATAGGTTCATTCTGTGCTCCATCCCAGCAGTCAATCTCCAAACAACGGCATCCTTTAACAAGGGCACTAGCAAAATTTAAGCAAAATAAAATGTTACCCCTGGACCATTAAAAATACATACCAAAGTCTTAAAATATTCCAAAGACTGTTTGTGATTTTATAATAAATGCATAAATGAGTCCATAACACTCTATAAAAATTTGTCTTTAGGACAAGTTTTGAGTATCTGGAAATTTGTATTAAAAAGATGAAAACTGTCTATGTAGTACATTACTGTGTCTTTCTTTCTAGGCAAATGTTTTACTCTTATGTGCTCTCCATCCAAGGCTTGGTTTTGAGTAAGCAATGAAGATACCTGCTCCATAGTTGTAGCTCTGAAATATCTCTACTTCTAACCCAGAGAGTTTTGCTTATAGTGGCATTTACTGTTAAATGCAATACTATTGAAAAGCAATAATTTTCAAAGCCCTCTCAGAATAGTAAAATATATTAATAAAATCTTATCTAATTCTTTTCTCATGTCAGGCTTTGGGGAATGGAGTATATGGTAGGAAGGGAAGGATAAAGAAAAGATAAATCATGACAATACTTGCTCCCTGGAAACAGTGTTGGCTAGAGGGTATGGAAACTAGAGGGCCTAATGAATCAGTTAATAATCCTTCTTTCTCTAACCGTTTTGCATAATAAGACCATCTCTAATCTTAATACAAGTAAGTACTAGAGAAAATTAAAGTTTATGCAAAGGAAGCCTGGACATCAGCTAATCTATGTCTATTTGACCCATAATTTCACTGGGAGAAAAATTTGAACTGACTGCCTCAGAATGCAAGTTCACAGCTTTATCAAAACTGAGGAAAATATATTTCTTCTTCCGTTGATGTCTAAACTGGGTCTGATTTTTCTACCTAAAAAATAAAAATCAGTTTCTTGATTTAGACATAAATTCTCTTAGGTTCATTAAATCAGTTTTACTCACTGGGTTAAAATTAATTCTCAGTGTTCATAATACAAGAGAGCGATGACAGGATGCTTTATTAACACATATGCTTTTATTTACTCGGTGTCAGTTGAAGCTGATTGCATTCAGATTTTCCACTGACTTTATAATAACGAATATAAGCAAACAGGGATGTCTTAGAATCTTCATACCCAGCCCAGAGCAGGCCACTGTATGCCATCATGAAATAGGTCATTTGCCCCAAACTACCAAGACCCAAGAGTTCACTCAAATTTATTGATTTATTGATTGATTCCTGCAAATATAGACACAGCAATAAGATAATTCTTTAAATTATTTCACAGACATGCACACATAGTTGTATAGTTGTTCCTATTTATTATCTATGAACCTGGCCTGACATGGAGCTAATATATGCCAACCACAGACCAAGGATCAGCAACACTAGCATGAGGCAATGGTTAGTGCTAGTTCTACAAGAGCAGTGACTGAAATTTCAGTCTCATGAAACATGTTTGACAAACTGACTGTCAGCAAATATTTATTGTTTATATGAGAAAAAAATGGGAACTGCAGAGATGTTAAGAAAAAAAAGTAGAAGGCAGAAAAATGTGATCTTCTAAAATGCAATCTTGGAAGAGACAAAACTGAATCAAAAGAGAGCTGATCTGAAACTCCAGAATCTTAGAATCAATGTTCACATGTTAGGAAAGAGGTTAAAAAAGCTTCCTTGCCATACATAGAGATATTTTCCCATAAAAACCAAGCTGACACATGTTTTCCAATAAGTATATTAAATTATCCCACCGTCTGCAGGTTATTGTTTTTTCACTGGGACGAGTTTGTCTCACTGGAGGGATTTGGCAATGTCTGGAGACATTTTCAGCTGCCACAACTGGAGATGGGGTAGGGTTGTAACTGGCCTCTGGCAGGTAATGGTCACAATGATGCTAAACATTCTGCAAGGCACCAGACAGCCCCCGACAACAAAGAATTATCTGACTTATAAAGTGAAAAGTTTGAGAAACCCTGCCAAAAGTCATGATAACCTGGAGAAGAAGGTGTAGTCCTAGCACCAAGTACTTATGTATAATCAGTAGTTTTTCCAAACAGAAGCACAGAGCACCAAATGGGTCATATGAGAAAATGAACCTTTTAGATTTAGTTCTTCTTTGGAGATCATATTTAGTCCCTTTCTAGGGAGATGATCCAAGAAGTACTTAGGAACATAGCTGAAAACAGATAAAACTATTATGACACTAAGTCAACGTACTGCATTCAGGACTGCCTACAATATAGCAGAGAGAGAGAGAAACCTTACATACTCTTGGGAATAATAGAGATAAAAGATGAAAACTTGAGAAGTAAGGCATTAGAGAAGAAGGGAATTGGTGAATCATATCTATCTTAGAAGCTTCCCCAATAGCTTGATTGTGAAAAATTAAATTCTTAGTAAATTCTTTCGGGATGTTTAGGGGTTTAAATTTTTGCTCTGTTTTTTGTTTTTTTTTGAGGTGTGTGTTGGGGGGAGGGGGAGATGGAGTCTCTGTCACCAGCCTAAAGTGCAGTCTCAAAGTTCTAGGCATAAGTCACCATCCCACATCAGCCTCCCAGGTAGCTGGGACTACAGATACATGCTACCACACTTGGGTAATTTGCTTTGGTTTTTGTTGTTGTTGTTGTTGTTGTTGTTTAAGTGCACAGTGCTTTATTTCGGCATGTGGGAAAGCACTGTAATGTAAAATTTCAGAGTTTTGTTAACTAATTGTCTTTGTATTGGAGAAATGGACCTAGAATACTCAGAGAAATCTTGTCTGGCCCATGGATACTCTGGACAAATAAGGTGGTCACCTAATCCTTGGCAGAAGTTTTAAATTTGGCTGTATTTGTAAAATTGCAAATGAAGATATTTCTTGGCTTATGGATTTATTTATGTATTTAGATTTTAAGATGGAGAAGAAGCAACGTTTATTTGTAAAGTTTCTTATTTTCCATGGAAGAATTTTGCTTTCCTGACTGGTAGTTGATTATGATGGTAAATTGTCTTGCCTATCTTATCAACATACAGTATGAGTTCTCTGGAGTGCTGCCAGAAAACAATCTTGAGCTTTCTACTTGGGCGTTGGGAGGATAAACCACCAAGAACTATATTGTGAACTAAAACTTTTCATAAATAATATTGATTCTTGCTACTTTTTTAGATGGTTTTAATTTTAGCCATGGATGAAGCCAATCTTTGTAAAATTGCATCTTCAGGCTACATGGCTTGGTCCCCTGCAAAAATGTTTTAAGTGGTTGCACAATGTCATACCAACCACTTATGTGTGAGGGATATAAGAGAAAGTTTTATCTTCTCTGATGGTGATGTTGAGGACACTCCATTATTTCACTTTGAGTCTCCTTTTTGAAAACGAATAGAGAAAATTTCTCTCTCATTCACTACTGTTTTTTATGATCACTGTAAACCTTATAACTAATTCTGTTTCTCTCTTGGCTTTGGCTGCTAGGAAACTTACAGGTGATATTCTCTATGCATTCTGGAATTTGTACAGAACTTTGTGGTATGAAATTTCCGCTCTTAACTTTGTTTCATCTGTTTATCTCTAAATTTCCTTCAAATATTTCCTATAAACTATCAAGGTATAAAATATTATAATTTTATTGCAATTTATTTAGACTGTATAATGTTATTATTTTCTATTTGAAGTTGAATTTTAACTGGTAATAAAAATAAATTTAAGGACTTTTTGGTAGATTAAAATATTGAATGCTACAGCAATAATATTCTTTTTCCTTTTGTAAATATGAGGAAACTGAGATACACAATGGTTTTATCTGTCACAAAATTAACAGATGAGGAAAAGGGAAGAAATATGAACACTAGAAACTTAAATACTGATGTTTAAACACATATTATGCCACTAGTCATGAGGTAAAATATTTTGAAAGACTTTCATTCTAAGCATGTATCTTCAAAAGGTGGAAAAAGAAACAGAGAAAAGTACAATTAAATTTAAATGTAAATTTGCAGTTGGGTGAACTATTTTCTTGTAATTCAAAAGTAATTATATTTCTAAATATAACTGCTTTAATATTTATATTTTCTCTCTTTAAAAAAATTAAAAATAACAAAAAATGAACAGAAATTCCTATAATGAAATTATAGCTACAAATTGGGCTATCTTTACAGAATTCTAAATGAATACATTTCCAAATGTATGAATTTCTGTCTTTAGTTAGATTTGAAATTAGAGAATCAGCAATATTTATTTGTAAGTTTGGTATTATTTTAGAATTATAAGATATCTTTTCTATTGATGGTTTTACGTTAAATAATACCATCTAATCATTTGGTTTTAAATATCCCATATATGTTGATAACTTCCAATTCTGGTTTTCCCATCTGATAACTTCTGAATTCCACACACATATATATCCAACTGACTATCTGATCTAGCCAGTTAGTAATTAATTGGTATCTGGAACTTAACATGGAAACCACAGAATTCTTGCATGTTACCTCACACCCTACAACAGGCTTCTCTTTTGGGCTTCAACATCTCACCCAACAGTATCACTGGTTACTGGGAGGAAAATCTTTATTCCTCTCTTTCCCTTACATCTCTCTTCAAATCACCTGGTAAGTCATGTTGGCTCTGCCTTCTAAAATTACATGGTCCCCAGCATATGATGGTTTGACTTATAATTTTTCAACATTATGATGGTACAAAGACAATATGCATTCAGTGGGAATCACAATTCTGCTTCTGAATATTGGTCAGTTCCCAAGCTAGCAATATTCTGTATGAGACACTCTGTCACAACATGCTGGGCAGCAGCAGTGAGTACAGATCCCACTCAGCCACATGATCACAAGGGTAAGCAACCAAGATTCTATGATGTCCTGTGTTGCCAGTTTGCGGGGGTGCTTTTGGAGTGGGGATATGATTTAGCCTCACTGTAAGCTAGTGTAAGTGTTCTGAGCACATTTAAAGTAGGCTTGGTTAAGTTATAATGTTTGGCAGGTTAGATGTACTAAATGCATTTTCAGCTTAAGATATTTTCAAGTTGGGATATAACCACATCATAAGTTGAGGAGCATCTGTATCTCAAATTCAACCACTTATCATCTCAGCTGCCCCCTCATCTATAGCCATCATCTATACCACCTGCACTGCTACACCATCTTCCCAAATCATCTTCTACCTCCACTCTGGCCTCATCAGTCATTCCTCCACATTACTGAACAAATCAAATTATGGCACTATCTTAAAGAAAATCCTTCTCCGTGCAGCTGGAATAAAATCTATTCTCTTCTCCTTGTTCTACAAGACCCTCATAAACTCACTCTACCTACCTCCTCAAATTCATCTCCCTTCATTCACCATTGACTTGTCTCCAGCCATATTTGCCATTTTTCTCTCATTTAAACAAGTCATGCACGTATTCTGTTTAACGTGACCTTTCTATTAGATCTTTCCAAGGCTTCCTCTATCATCACTCATGCCACAACTATTTAATTTCACCTCTTGACTTTTCTGACAACTTTAACCTAAGTAACACCCTCACAGTCACTTTTTATCACATTACCTTAGTTCATCTTCTCCGTATGATTCATTCGTCCTTGAAAACATTTTTTACCTGGTCATTATCTATCTGCCTGTGCACAGATGAGTGTAGTATGTGTATACCTATGTAACAAACCTGCACATTCTGCACATGTACCCCAGAACTTAAAGTATAATTTTAAAAAAAAAAGCAAATACCTTACATATCCCCAAAGGTCACTTGGTCCCACTAATTGACCAGATACCAAATACGTGTTATGTGAGGATGAAATAAAATAATCATTTAATGGATGAGACATATCTTGATAAACTTTTCTACATTCATTTTTAAATAGTAGACATTCAGATGAATCCATGTATCTTGTAAAACCTTCAAATGACATTTGGTGTGCTTTCCTAGCTAAAAAGAGAAAATAAAATAAGTTAAAAGAATGTAAAAATATCATTAGCAAGATAAAAAAATACATCTCACTTGTAAACTTAGTAGTAGAGAATGTTTCTAAAATAGTTCTTTAGAATTAATATTAATATTCTATGTTGTTTGGGAAAAAGTTTGTAGTAAAACCTTTAGTTCTTCCATACTGGCATTCAAGTAAAGAATATTTTAATTATATCTGATTTTTTTAAGATTTGAAAATACACACAAGAAAAGTACATGTATTATAGATCAATGAGCTTCCACGAGCTACACGTCTGGATAACTGGAACACAGGTCAAAGAACTTTCCAGTCACCACACCCATGTATATCCACTGGTTTGACTTCTAAAAGCACAGATTAGTTTTTCTTGGGTTGTTGTGCTTTAATTGACTCAGGCAATATGTATATTTTGTACCTGGTTTCTTTTACTCAACATTATGTTTTAAATATTTATTCTTGTAGTTGCATGTAGTTATACATTGCTCATTCCCATTACTTTACAGTATTTCATTGTATGAGAATGCCACAATTTATTCATTTTATCACTGATAGGCATTTAGATAATTTCCTGTTTGGGGCTATTGCAGATAGTGCTGCCAAAAATAACTAGTGAATGTCTTTTGGTGCAAATATATACACATTTCTATATGGTGCAAGTCTAGAAATGGAATTGCTGGGTCATTTGCATATGATCATCTTTAGTAATTAATCTCCGAACATTTTACTTACTATGATATGTACCAAAATATTAATTTAAGCAGAAGACTGGCTCTGGAAAGAGACAGCCTGGACTCATATCCAATTTAACTTGTTATATGACCTTGAGTATGTTAGCTAAGCTCTCCCTATTTGTGGAATGGGGGTAATAACAGGATCTACCCCTATATATCTACTCTATAATTTTTAGTTGCTCTTATTGCGATTGATAGTTCATTTTGACCAAAAAGAAAAGGTGACATGAGCATTCACTTAATTAGAATGTGATCTTTGGCAGAGAATTTTATTTCTAGGAATTTATCTTTTAGAAGCAGAGACTCAGACAGTGATGTACAAGAATGCTCACATTAGCATTATTTATAAAAGCAACATAAGTGCAAGAGAATAAACAAATTAAAGCCCAAAATATGATACAATACTAAGCAGCCGTTAAGAATAATGTATCATAAAAATATAGTGACGTAAGTAAATGTTTATGACATCGTAAAAGTGAAAAAGACAGCATTCAAAATGCTATTACTGTTTTGGTTTAAAAAAAATAAAAGCTAGAAGAAAATACATAAAATTTTTATAGGCATACAAACCCTCTATTTCAAATTCATGTAAATGTAGGAAGATAGAAGTGTATGGAGCAAATGAATCATGTATTGTAACAGTAATGACTTGCATACATTTATTATTTTTCTCTCTTTAATTAGCAGTAATTGGCTTAGCTCTTTTGAACTATTTAATAATTAAATAAACATCGTCAGTAATAGAATAGAAAATAAACTCATTTTGTCCCCTGAAAAACTACCAGTTGGAAATGAGGATTAATCACATGGATTTTTTAAAACTTCATTTGGTACATGTCACATACTAATGAGGGATGAGGCTGAGGAGCTTGGTAGCATTTGGAACTGTAAGATCATAAGTCAAATTGGCCTTAATAAGACACAAAAGTGATCAATAATCATATAAATGAAATGCAAGGTCTTGGCTGTGTTTGAGAGTATTTGAGGCAGGTGAAGGCTCAAAAGAGGAAGTGGATGAACAGTGTAATATTGTAGTTAAAATGCAAACACAATTCCAAAGTGTCATTGCCACCATCCCAATATCTCATTTGTATCTTTTAATTTACCACCTGAAGTTGACAGTGCCAAAGTAATTTTTTTGGTAATATTCTCTAGATCAGTGCTACTGAAAGTGCTCATCTATAAACTGGTTGTTTCCAGTTGGCAATGACATAAAGAGCTTGAGCCAGAACATAAATCAATGCACTACTTCCTTAGAAAAAGTCTTGCTATTTTTGAAAAAAAAAAAAAAAAAAAAAAAAAAAAAAAAAAAAGCTGAACTCATCAGGTCTGCTTCATGATATAGTATGTACGTACTAAGTATGTACTATATACTACATTCACTTAATATCCTGGGGCAAGCTCTTTACCTTGCTGCAAACCTGCAAAAGTTTAATGGTGCTCAGACCAACTTGTCACTAACACTGCACTCAATCACGCCACTACAATGCTGAAAACCCTCCAAAATCTTTGCATGGCACTGAGTCATGAAGCCAAAATCTTAATTGTGGCCTACAAGACATTATATGGTTTGATCTCTGCCAGTGTCTCCAAACTCATTTCCCACTCATTCTCAAGGCTTTAACCTCACTGTCCTCCTTCTGTTCCTTCAGTTCTTCAACTCAGGTCCAGTGCTTCCCTTTGTTGGACCTTAGACACTTCTCCCATTTTGTCACATAACTTGTCTGTCCTTGCCATTTAAGTTTCAGCTCAAATCTCACACTCTCAGAGAGGATTCTCCTAAACACCCAACCTGAACTAAGCTTCCCAGGTCATTTATTCTCTCTCACCTTCCCTGCTGTTTCCATATCACTTAGCACTCTTTAAGTTATCCTTTTACATGCTTCATTATTTACTGTCAACTTTCTCCAGCCCATCAGGAATTCAAGACCTAATTGCCTTGTTCTTCACTATTGCTCCAGCCCCCAAAAACCATACTTGGTTACTACAGATAAATATTTGAATGAATTATGAATGTATGATCCAATGCAGAAATAAATTTGGTTTTGTTAGAACCTACATTATCATGTGTTAAACACTGGTAGCCTGAGCCAACTTTCAGAGGCAAAACTTGAACTTTCATACTCCCCTTGCTAGATGAATATTTTGAGCTATTCTATCAGTTGATTTCTGTAAGGTTAAACATTGTGCTTTAATAATGTTTTGGTACAATTATATGAATATTTACTGTATTACATGTTTATTATTTTATTTCAAAATGAACATAAATGAAAAACTGTGAAGTGTTTTTACCCATTGAAAAATGGAACAAAGATCACAAAATCTATGACAGATCATTAGCCTAAATAGTCACCAAATCACTTAGTGTTCAAAAATGAAGAAAAAGCAAATATATATATATATGAAATGTTGTAGATAATTATATTTATAAACAAAGGAAAATTAATCATTTTATAATATTTTGTTCTTGGAATTTTTTTCATTTACCTCATTTAATTTTCACACATATTTTCAACAACATAATACATTAAAATGGAAAACTACCTATAACTGAAGTTTTATCTTATTCATGAGATTAAGATACTTTCTTCTTCTAGTAAGGCACATGTAATAGAATAGTTGTCTTATTTTCACCTGTAAGCTTGTTTCTGAACACTTGAGAGATACATGAAAGCAGTTAAAAGGAAGGAGCTGAACAGTGTATAGGAAAGAATGTCATGGTTATACAGCACAACTTTTTAAAAGGTAGTAGAAATTCTATAAAATATATTTCCCAAGGAAATTTTACCCATTCAAAAACTATAATTTGATAACCGTAATTCATAAAAATACTTTGCATTAAAATATTTTTTTAAAAAAAAAGAAAAAATACTTCACATATAAATATTCTGATAAAACTTTGAAATGCAAACATACCTTCTTCGATAGGCTCATATTTCTGAATGATCTCAAAAGCAATAGTTTTACTCATCTCAACTGTATATTGTTCTTGTGTCAGAAATTGAACCAGATTATGTTCTGAAATAATTTTCCGGTTTTCAGAATATGCATTGAAAATCTCAATAATTTCTTCTCTGTGTGCGATAATTCGATAAATTGCTCTAAATTCTTCTATGGTGATTCTTCCTTGTTTCAGCTTGTCATTGTCCTACTAAAAAAAATAACTGGTGGGCTCACAGTGTGAGTATAAAAAATACATAAGTGAACATCGGAGTATTTATGTAATATATAATAATTATACTTGAAAGAAGATGAAACTTACATTAGATTCTTATGGAAGATAAAATATATAAAACTGTATGGAGTGATGTCAAAATTGGGAGTAGTTAACTCTTGAAACCCACTGGTTACAGGGATGAAGAAAGGAGTGTGGGAGAAAATGAGGATTCCAGGTTGTCTTTCAGTTTCACATTTCATTTTTGTATTCTACGTTACTTCAATTCTTTCATAAAACCATACCAGGCCATGTGTAATCTCATGCCACTGGTGTGTAGCCTGGACCATATATGTCAGAGTGAGTCAGACACATTCAAGATCACTGTAAACTACAGAAGCTGTAGTAGTTACCCAATACCTTAAAGAAATGGAGTCTGAGTAATCATTAAAGAATTTGGGGCAGGTACAAACAAGATGAGTTCTGATAAGAAAGAGTGGATTAAAAAGTTCATATTTGAGCTTTATTAGAAAAGGCAAGAAAATTGGCTGGGTCCAGTTATTAAAAGTAACAGAACAATGTGGATTTCTCAATAGGAAAATGAATAGCAAAAATAGAAGATTGGTTTGATTAGTAGTCCATTTCCAGTTGGAAGAGATGGAGAACTGCAGGTAAGAGATCAGTTAAGATGAAATTGAAGTGGGAGGTGGTGAATAGATGCTAAAGAACAGATCTCCCTGAAATGACGAAAGGGGAATTCAGGAGGATTCAACACATTGAAATTTTAGACAAATTAGATAAAGAATTCAGGAATGACTGGGGTCAGGAAGCATTAGAAACACTAGTAGAACTATAGCATTACTAACAAAAAACTGGGAAACAGGAAGTTCAGCTTAGAGGGAGATTTAATTTGTAAAAAAAAAAATGTTTTTTATAACATCTTGACTCTCTTGTTACATTGTAAACAGCTTGAACGTGAGAAGCATATGTTGACAGGGCATTGTATCATGGTGGGATCTGTGGTTGTCAAATCAGATGCTGCGTCTCCAGAGCTTCTTAAACAATCATAGCGCCTTAAAATTCTATAGTCTTAAAGTAATTCATGCATATTGTTAATTGCCTTACTTAACTAACATGGTTCAACTTACTGTTTTTTTAATTCTGGATTTGGAGATCCATGGAAGTGGATGTTACAGAATTAATTTCGTTTTAGCCTTGTTCCACTCTTTATTTCTCATAAATCTTAAGCAAATTAGTAAAAGTTTAAAATATGCCTGTAATTCCTGATAATTCTGGTTATAGAAAATTATATAAATAAAAAATTATGCTTCTACTGAATAGCAGCATGAAATAAAATATACATTATTCACTGAGTAATGAAAGTTTTATTACTTTCAGAGTATAAGCTTGGTCATCTGAAATGTCCTGATAATTTGTTTTGTCTCGTGTTCTTCTAAAAGGTCAAAGTTGCCGTCTTATACTAAAACGATTTGGAGATATAAAGTCCAAACAAAATTCCACAAATCCAAAGAATCGCTATAACTGATCAAAATCAAAGAAGAATTGAAAGTCAAATATTAATCAAATTATCAAAAAATGAAACCCATGCAAAATAGTGAGAGTTGTATGACTGAAGAAGGGAAGATCTAATTTTAGTAGAAAGAGAAAAGGAAAAGGAAAGCAACAAGGAGCAAATAACCATGGGAAAGAAAAACAGGACATGGTAGCTTCATAATCAAGAGAAACAGAAGAAAAGCAATGAGAAAGAAGATGCAATTTGAGTGCTGAGACACGTGATAGCAGCTCAGACTGCCAATGTACTAGACTACCTTATAAGAGAAAACTGAAGCTCAAAAATCTTAGGTAAATTGTCCCCAGCCCCATGGGTAACCAGGATTTTTAACTAACTCTAAGACCACCCAGAGGAGCAGTTGGAAGAAAGAAAGTCAGTATATCATTACACAGATTAACAGTATATATGCAGAAATAAATTCTGTAAAATGCAAATCTGACCATCTCACCGCTGTCTTAAAGTTCTCAATGTACCTCCTTTGTCTTCAAGTCAAAACCCCAACTGTACTGTGTAGCATCCAAGGCCATCTAAAATGTCACGGACGATTTCTGCTCTTTTTCTTCCTTTCACCTCACACTTCAGGTGCTCTGAATTAGTTGCAGCACAGGTACCAAACCATCTCTTGCTATGATACAGATTTTTTTTTTCTTTCTGGAATATCCTTCTTTCTTTCTAAGTTACCAATGGCTACTAATCCTTGAAAAAGTGTCACCCACTCTAGAAATCTCCCTTGGGTCGCATCCTGTGTCTCCTTCCCAGGCTGTATTAGATACCCTTTCTCTGGGTTCTTAAAAGACTCCACTTTCTTCTCTCATAGGGCTTATTAAATTGGAATGACAGTCTTTTTCCATATTTATTCTAAAATTGCCTCAGACAGTGAGTTTGTCATTTGTTTCCTGTATCCTCAGGTCTTACAAAAGTGCCTGAATGAAGACATTCAGAATGTGGCTACCACCCAAACAGTGTTATGAATTTGATGAAATAAGTGCATTTAAACAATAATTAGATATAGGAGTTAAGTAGGAAAAGAGATTTAAAAATGCATATTCCAGAAGATATGCAAATTCTCAGGCCCCACCTCAGAGTTCACTACCATCTTTAAAATGTTTCATATTAATCATTAAAAGTGTAACATAAAATAAGATTAATAAAACCATTTTTCTCCTGTTTTAGAAAAATAAAAAAGTTATTCTTTGCAAAGCATTACAAAAAGCACTTTCCCAAACAATTCATTTAATCTCTTGTATATTTAAAAATATACCATATACTTCAAGACATGAAAATCATGCAGGTAGATAATTTTATTCTTTTTATTCCCAATGCCTACCACTGGACCTACCCTAGTGCAGGAGCTTAACTACTATACTTTTAAATGAAGGATTGAATAAATAAGGAAAAAAGAATACAAAATAATTCTATTGATAGTCATTTCAACCTGGCAGGGGAGATGCCACGATCATGAAGGTGGTTTTCCCAGGGCGAGGCTTATCCATTGCACTCCGGATGTGCTGACCCCTGCAATTTCCCCAAATGTGGGAAACTCAACTGCATAATTTGTGGTAGTGGGGGACTGCGTTCACACTTTCCCCTGGTAATTTTCTTTTTTTAATAAAAAAAAGGATAGTCATTTCAAGTGTACACTTTCAGAAAACAGAATGAAGGCTTTCCATGTTGTCACCATTTTCCATTTCCAGTGCTCAGTTTGCTAGTAAAAATATGAAATGTTACTTAAATAATGTGATGAGAAAGCTGATTTGTCAAAACAGAATTTATTTTTTTCATTATATTTTAAGTTCTGATGTACATGGTGGAGATCTTGCAGGATTGTTTATATACAGGCCATTTGCTGCCTCCATCCTCCCGTCACCTACTTTAGGTATTTCTCCTAATGTTATCCCTCCCCAGTGTCCCCACCTCTTGCTATCCCTCCCTTAACCCCTATCCCACAACAGGCCCCAGTGTGTGATGTACCCCTCCTTGTGTCCATGTGTTCTCATTGTTCAATACCCACTTACGAGTTAGAACATGCAATGTTTGGTTTTCTATTCTTGTGTCAGTTTACTGAGAAATGGTGTCTAGCTTCATCCATGTCCCTGCAAAGGACATGAACTCATCCTTTTTTATGGCTGCATAGTATTCCATAGTGTATATATGCCACATTTTCTTTATCCAGTCAATTCTTGATTGGCATTTGGGTTGGTTCCAAGTCTTTGCTATTGTAAACAGTGCCGCAATGAATATACATGTGCATGTGTCTTTATAATAGAATGATTTATAATCCTTTGGGTATACCCAGTAATGGGATTGCTGAGTCAAATGTTATTTCTATTTCTAGATCCTTGAGGAATCGCCACACTGTCTTCCACAATGGTTGAACTAATTTACACTCCCACCAACAGTGTAAAAGTGTTCCTATTTCTCCACATCCTCTCCAGCATTTGTTGTCTCCAGATTTTTTAATGATCACCATTCTAACTGGCATGAGATGGCATCTCAATATGGTTTTGATTTGCATTTCTCTAATGACCAATGACGATGAGCCTTTTTCATACATTTGTTGGCCGCATAAATATCTTCTTTTGAAAAGTATCTCTTCATATCCTTCACCCACTTTTTGATGGAGTTTTTTTTTCTTGTATATCTGTTTTAGTTCTTTGCAGATTCTGGATATTAGCCCTTTGTCAGATAGGTAGCTTTCAAAAATTTTTTCCTATTCTGTTGGTGGCCAGTACACTCTAATGATGGTTTCTTTTGCTGTGCAGAAGCTCTGGAGTTTAATTAGATCCCATTTGTCTATTTTGGCTTTTGTTGCCATTGCTTTTGGTGTTTTGGTCATGAAGTCCTTGCTTATGCCTATGTCCTTAATGGTATTGCCTAGGTTTTCTTTTAGGGTTTTTATGATGTTAGGTCTTATATTTAAATCTTTAATTCATCTGGAGTTAATTTTTGTATAAGGTGTAAGGAAAGGGTCCAGTTTCAGCTTTCTGTACATGGCTAGCCAGTTTTCCCAACACCATTTATTAAAGAGGGAGTCCTTTCCTATTGCTTATTTTTGTCAGGTTTGTCAAAGATCAGATGATTATAGATGCATGACTTTACTTCTAAGGCTTCTGTTCTGTTCCATTTGGCTATATCTCTGTTTTGGTACCAGTATCATGCTGTTTTAATTACTATAGCCTTGTAGTGTAGTTTGAAGTCAGATAGCATGACACCTCCAGCTTGGTTCTTTTTGCTTAGGATTGTCTTGGCTATGCAGGCTCTTTTTTGGTTCCATAAAAATATGGAATGCTTCACAAATTTGCGTGTCATCCTTTTGCAGGGGCCATGCTAATCTTCTATGTATCATTCCAATTTTAGTATATGTGCTGCTGAGGCGAGCACAAAACAGAATTTACTTTTAACGTAAGATACAGCATTTTAA